CTAATTTCATTTCCTGAAAAATGGAACTGAAATACAGAACAACTGTCTCAGCTGACCCATCAAAATAAAGGTTCAGCAAAGCTTGTAAAACATCACGCCACATGCTTAATCTGAAAAACAGCATGTGAATGCCAAAGAACCACAATATCTGGAAACAAGTACGACTTATTACAGCCAAAAGACAAGTAGTAATCCTCTGATATTACAGGCTACAGGACTGGACGACAAAAACTATAGAGGACTCTCTGTCATAAACTAGCAATCCTGAGAATCATCGGCGCCACCCCTTCTTTCTGCTGATTTTCTTTTAAAATGCTATGACGATTATATTTCGTACTCCGTAGTTATAAAGGAGTATCAATTGTTTCATGCCAGTGGTTAAGATCTCGTCAAAAGAAGAAGGAAATCTGTCATGCTAACTTTGTATTGTATACGAAATTAAGCAACCCGTGCGGGCACTCATGATCATTAGCAGGGAATGTCCGTGGGCTAAATTGCCCTGCAAGGAGGGCAACAGTCAGTGCTACAATTGCTGCCTCCTCGTGTCAGCTCGCCTGCTTACAGGAGACAAAGCTCGACAATGTGGACAAGTTTGTGGCTGCCTTCCTTGGGGGCAACAGACTAAAAAAATTCGCACAGTGCCCAGCGAACGGGACTAGAGGAGGGATACTCTTACTTTGGGATGATAGTGTGGTCGATGTCTCCGGGGTAACAACCTCGACTTATTGCCTCTCGGCCATGGTTCGGATTCGCGCGACTGACGTGTGCTTCTCACTCACCTCCGTCTACGGGCCCACCGATCACTCGTGCAAAGATGTGTTCTTCACCGAGCTTGTCGCCCAAAAGCCTTCGCCGGGTGTGGCATGGCTTGCTGTTGGGGACTTCAATCAAATTTACCGGGCTAGAGACAAAAACAAGAGAAATGTGAACCTGAGTAGGATCAACCGGTTTCGTTCTACGCTTCAATCTTGCGAGCTCAAGGAAATCCACCTCCAAAATAGGTGCTTCACCTGGAGTAATGAGAGGGAGAATCCGCCCCTCTGCAAGCTAGACTCCTTCTTTTGCAATGCGGCTTGGGATGCAACATTCAACACGCATGTGCTTCATGCCTTGTCGTCTTCGCTCTCCGACCATTGCCCCCTACTACTAGCGGATGACAAGGGTCCTAGGAGGCCACGGTCTTTCAAATTTGAGAATTTCTGGGTATCCTTGCCCGGCTTCAACGAAGTGGTTCAAAAGGCTTGGGACGAGAGGGTGGACCACACAGAGCCTTATCAAGTCCTTCATCACAAGCTAAAGAAAACAGCGCTTCGTCTCATGGAGTGGAGCAAGAGGTTGTTCTCCAGGGCAAAGGTCCAGTTTCACGCGGCCCTTCTTGTGATTCTCCGCCTTGACATTGCTCAAGAGGAGAGGCCCCTCTCTCCCGAGGAGCGAGACCTCCGCTCTAGGCTCAAGCGGAGGGTGATTAGTTTGGCGGTGCTTGAGAGGGCTAGGAAGAGCCAATGCGCTAGGATTACAAATTTGAAAGAGGGTGATGCAAACACAAAATTCTTCCACCGCCACATAAATGCACGAAGACGGAAAAATCACATCCATCGGATCAAGCACGGGCATGGTTGGGTAACTGGGCACGAGGAAAAGGAGGAGATCATTCATGGCCACTTCTCCGAGGTCATGGGTAGAGGGGGCTCGAGCAACATGGATTTTAACTGGGAGGAGCTTGGCACCGAGCCCCATGCTTTGCACGACCTTGCTGATACAATCACCGAGGAGGAGGTTTGGGCGGCCATAAAGGATATGCCTTGTGATAAGGCGCCCGGTCCGGATGGTTTCACAGGCACTTTTTTTAAGAAGTGTTGGGGAGTTATCAAGTATGATATTATGAGGGTTATCCAACGCTTCGATTCCCTACACACCTCCAACCTGCAATGGCTCAACTCTGCCAATGTTGTTCTCTTACCCAAAAAGGAGGGTGCGGAAGGCATTTCTGACTATAGGCCCATTAGCCTCATCCATGCCATCGCCAAAATCATTGCAAAGATTCTATCGCTCCGGTTAGCCCCCCACATGGACGACCTCATCTCCAACGCCCAAAGTGCATTCATCAAAAGGAGAAGCATTCATGACAACTTCATGTACGTTCGGAGTTTTGCGAGGCGGCTCCACAAGAGCAAGACCCCGCCCTTCTTTTCAAGCTTGACATTAAAAAGGCTTTTGAATCGGTCAAGTGGGGTTATATTCTTGACCTTCTTCAACGACTGGGGTTCCCTCCCAAATTTCGTGATTGGATTGCCGCGCTTCTATCCTCATCATCCTCGCGCATCATGCTTAACGGATTGCCCGGCCCCCCTATCAGGCACGGCCAGGGGTTTCGACAGGGGGACCCCCTCTCGCCCCTCTTATTCGTCCTCGCAATTGACCCCCTACACCAGATTCTTGACTTGGCCACTCGGAAAGGTCTCCTTCATAAAATTCGTGGACGTGGGTCTTTCATGCGAACTTCACTATATGCAGTTTTTGTGGCTCCAGTCAAGAGGGACATTGACAACCTCGCCTCGATCGTGAGATGCTTTGGAGAGGTGACGGGTCTTCGCACAAACTTCCAGAAAAGCTCGGTTGTGCCTATCCGATGCAATCACCTTAATCTCGAGCACATTCTTGAAAGTGTGCCAGCAGCTCGGGCGTCTTTCCCCATGAAATATCTTGGTCTACCGCTCTCTGTGTGGCAACTAAAGAGGGTGGATTTCCAATATCTTGAAGATAAGGCAGCCGGCAAATTGGTCACTTGGGAAGGTCAGGATATCACCACCATCGGCCGCACGGCCCTCGTCAAGTCGGTCATTTCATCTCAAGCGGTGTTCTCCATCACGCCGCTAATTGTTCCGTCAAGCACTCTTGATAGCCTTAAAACAAGCTTGAGAGGGCCTTCCTTTGGTCCGGCTCGGACAAGACGACCGGGGCCAAGTGCAAGGTAAATTGGGAAACGGTTTGTCGACCAAAGGAATATGGGGGTTTAGGAGTGCTCAACACCGACAAATTTGCTCGTGCTCTACGTCTTCGATGGCTTTGGTATGAATGGAAGGAACCTCACAAGTCATGGGTGGGTTTTGGCAACCCTTGCACCGACGACGACCGCGAGTTCTTCTATGCCTCTACTACTATCATCATTGGGGATGGTGCCAAAACGCCTTTTTGGGATTCCCCTTGGCTCCTAGGACGCAAGCCAAAGGATATTGCACCGCTTACCTTTGACGCTTCGAGGAGAAAAAAATGGAAGGTGCGGGAGGCCCTCAATGGGAATGCATGGATCCTCAAGATCAAGCCTGACACCATAATCTCCATCGACCACATCCGGGAATTTTTCACCTTATGGATGCTGGTGCACGATTTCCACCTTAACGAGCAGATCAAAGATGATATTGTTTGGAAGCACTCCAATGATGGGATCTACACAGCGTCAACAGCGTACAAGGCTCAATTTCTTGGCTTGGTTCTATCCCCCATGGATCTCATGGTTTGGAAAGTATGGGCACCTCCAAAAGTGAAGTTTTTTGCTTGGTTGGCATTACAAAATAGGATTTGGACCACCGACCGGTTGGAAAAGCGTGGTTGGGCAAACTGTGGCCTTTGCCAGCTATGTAAAAGAGAACAAGAAACGGGTGCACATCTCTTCTTCAAGTGTCGGTACACGCTTAGGCTCTGGAGATCAATCATTCAGAAGCTTGGTCTTGCTCACATGGACACCTCCAATTGGCACCTTGCGGACTCCGTCAATGAATGGTGGGATAAGAGAATTGACAATCGAAACCCCAATAGACAAGCCATGGCCTCCCTCACTATGCTTATGTCTTGGACTATTTGAAACGAACGAAATGCTCGGGTGTTCCGACACAAGTGTGCGCCGCCGCCCATTCTCCTTAACATCATCCTAGAGGAGGCCAAGCTTTGGGTTACCGCGGGTGCTAAAAAATTAGGGCTAATTATTTAGTGTGAGTAATTGTCATGCCGTGTATGTGGGTCACCTGTAACACTCTAAACTCTCTTCTTATTCAATGGATGAGGCAAATCTTATGCCTCCGTTTCGAAAAAAAAATTGATCATTAGCAGACATGCACAATGGACTCACTCACTCACTAACGCAGACGCACGCAGCCTACTAAATTCAGATTTATGATTGCACACATATATAGTCCCTTTGTTCGTTCCTAGTGTAGTAGTGTTGATACATGGAAAATCATAATGGAACTAGTTCCTTTTCCGGTCATCGTTGTTGGCAACATTCTCGATGTTTATGCACCAGCTGAGGATGTAATTAAGGAGTAGGTTTTCGGGAGCATCCTAGATCTTTTTCTGTTCATCAAAACATGCTATGTGCATCACTTTTATTCTTTCAACAAAGAACATTGGTTCGCAAAAACATACACGAACAATTCCGTAGCTTGGCTAGAATTGAACCAAGAATAACCAAAGGAAAAAAAAAGGCGCGCAGCAAAAGTATCGCCAAATTTTACAACATGAACTCGCTTGCAAGTTGAAGCAAACCATTGAGGTCGAGTGATCCGTCACCATGCATGCACGTACGTCCGCAGTTGCTGTACTGCTGCACTTATTAGTAGTGATTGATCGCGCGGCAGTTTTTCCTGATCTGGCCCTGGTAGCCGGTCTTGACCTCGATGCCGGCCATCTTCACCATGGCCTTCTCGAACCTGTCCTCCCACCACCCGGGGATTTTGGCGTTCTCCACCACCATTCTCGCCGTCTCTGCCGACGTCATGAGCGCCGCGTCGGAGGTGAAGAGCACCGTGTGCGACAGCACGTTCTTGTAGTACTGCCTGTCCAGCTTGTTGGGTGTCACCACGTCCTGCATTACCGTCGGGTCATTGCCGCCCGGCGTAGCGTCGGCCGGGCACTGGCCCCTCAGGAACGCGGCGAGGCCGCCGTTGATGTCAGAGGGGGTGTTGAGGCGGTCGGAGACGAAGGACGAGCAGTGGGAACGCCCGATGGTGTGCGCGCCGGAGAGGACGACCAGGTCCTCCGCGTTGAGGCCCTTGATGACGAAGCTAGCGACGAGGTCGCTGAGGTTGGACGTCGGCGGGACCAGGAACTTGAGCGGCTCGGAGGCGTTGGAGAAGGTGCCGTCGCGGCGGCCGGCCGGCATCTGGAAGTTTACTTTGCCCCTGCTGAGGATGCAGGACGCGTCACGGGCCGCAAAGGCGACGATGTCTGCACAGGAGACGACGCCTGGGCAGGCCGCCTCGAGGGCGTCTTTGATGGCGTCAATCAGCTCGAAGCCGCGCAGGGTAGGGTCGTTCGGCGGGCTGAGTTTCTCAGGCGTCGGGCTGAATGGGGTCGGGTCCAGAAGGACGGAAGCATCACAGCCCTAATCATCATCAAGTCAATGAGATTAATCAAATCTGGCTAATCGGTTGTATATACTATATATGTTTGTAAATTTGTTTCTTGCATTAAGTACCTCGACGAAACAGTCGTGGAAGAGCATGCGGATCATGGCGGCGCCATTGCCGGGGTTCCCGGAGATGGCCTGCTCCATGACGCCCTTGACGACGGCCTCCGCCTGGGGGCACTTGTCGTGGTAGTAGCCGATCTCCAGTGGCCAGAAAGGGCTGGCCTGGCACCCCACAGCGAGGAGCAGCAAGGCACAAGCCACCAAAACGTGTGGCTTTGCCGCAACGGCCGCCATTTCTATTTCTTGGAAGTTAGCTAGCTTGCTTGCTTGCTTGACTAAGATTGGAAATAGGAAGAGTGATAAAATCTGAGAAGTGCTCGATCGGTGCTGGTCTGTTGCTATAGCTCGAGCAGCAAGCTACTTATATAGGTGGCCGAGCTTAGGATACATACATAGGTCGGCATGTGTGCTTATAATTTACAATGATTATCATGGCTTCATTGGAACGTTACTGCACCGGTAGTTGGCACCAATTCGTTCCCACACCCAGTGGCGCGAAAATTAATCAAAGGGCGTCTTCGGTAATGATATGATACACAAATATTATTTATTTAATTATTTTGCGAATGATACACAAATATTTGGTAGTAACCAACAGCTAGCAGCTCACTAACCCTGATGGTTACATGCGGTTGACTCGGCTGATGTATGAACCGGTCATACGCATAAGCTGGAGCTAGTTATTTCGTAGTAATAGCGAGATTGAGCAGCTGATTGATGTATAGCCAGCTCCGTGTTTCTTTCTTCACCGTGCCAGTTGCAGATGGGAACGTACGCCTGGTTTTCCGGTCGTTGAGAGGTCAGGTTAATTTTAAGAACGTTTCGTCTGTGCGAATAAATATACTTCTTCAAATCCGTTAGGGCTTTTAGCGCGAGAAACGAATAAATATACTTCCAACGCGAGAAATTTCCACTTCATTTGAGGGCACGCGCGCGGGCGTCAGCTTTCCTCGCAAAAAAAGAATGTGAAAGAAATGCAGTATGAGCTTTTGGCAGGTGAGACGTACTACTTACGTACGCTCCAGGAAGCGTCGTATCCTTTAATTGCGTCGTCTCTTTGACCAGTTCATTTGTCACGTCTGATCATTAGCTAGCTTTTAGTTAGCTGACACGTTAAAGCTAACCTGACGTGCATATCATTCGTAATTTATACGAGGGCTGAGGGCTGTGACAACCCGCGTGCGAACCGGCCGACAGTTAGCGTGTGGAATGCAAACTCTTTTTTTTTTCCTCAAAACATGAAGCAGAAGAAAAGGGCTACATAACATACCGTGAGACTGTTGATGTGATACTTCGTTTGCCGATGATGTTGAAGCCACTTGTAGTATAGCACTGCAGCTAGCGAAGATGATCAAAATGTCAACATTGCTACTTATATTCCCCGCAAAAAAAAAACATTACTTATAGTATATGTGCCTTGAAAGATTTCAATCTCTGAACACACGACTCGTTTAGTAAACTCCGTTGCAGCTTGTGATCTAGCCATCTAGGTAATAAGCCGTTGTTTAAGTTTGTACGTGAATGGTTGCAACATAATGGTTTTGTTGACATGGTGTCCAAAGAGTGGTGAGATGAGCAGCGACGATCCACGTCTATGCAGATTTGGCGAAATAAAGTTCACATGGCCGTATGTTATTTTTAGGATGGGCAAAAAACACTAGTGACAAAGATAAGGAGTAGAAGTGTCTTCTCCATATCATTGATGAATTGGGCAAGAAATTTGCGGAATGATGGTGAAATTTCCCACAACCGAGATTCAAACAACTCATGGGAAAATCTTCTCTCGAGGAGGAGACCTATTGGCAACCCCCATGGCTAATATCAATCATTATGGTTGGTGGCCGTGGGTGGCTGCGGTTTCCCCAAGAGACTGACTGAAAGAGATCAGCTCAATGATAACGCTGGTCCTTCGGTTCATCTGGCTGACGGGCTAGAATATAACAAATGGGTATTTGACCAGATCGCTTCAAAGCCGAAGGAGGTGGTACGCTGTATAATGGTTGAGCCATCCCTTTGGAGGATTGCGAAATCGCATGGAGAAGGACATGAGTGTAGTCATTGATGTAATAGTTGGCGGTGTGATGCTGGGCGTCGGATTGTGGCGCTTTCAGATAGCGTTGTAACTCTCTCAACATATTTCTCTCTTAATGAAAAGACACACAACTCTCGTGGGTGTTCTTGGAGAAAAAATAACACTAGGCTAATGGCGGTAAAACTAGCCATCATGAATGATTTTACAACTCGACTAAGAGGAAGATCTCATTCACGATGACTTAAAAATAGAAAGTATTGTTGCAAAGTATTGGGATCGAGGGCTAAGGAGTAGAGGGGATGAATAGTCCTATGAAATTTTCCACTCAACTTTTATGGGTTGGCAAATTTTAACTTCAGGCAAAATGGACTAGATTACCAATGAATTTAGCATGCAAGATATCAAGAGTAGTAAGCATCGAAGAAGCAACAATCTTGCAACTAAGGAGGGGGTAGGGTTTAGAGAATTCAAACATTTGTGACATGAGGATTTCTCCCATAGTTCTAATAGTTGGTGCTATCTTACGTCCATGTTGATGAAGGCTTCAAACCAAATGGTTCTAGGATCTAAGGATCCGGATTGTGTCACCCTCCAACAACCCGCACTTGGCTATCTTTCTTACTTCACAGCACGAGGTTTTAATGCTAAGTTTGATCATACGCTATTAACATGCATGATGTTTAATTCCTATGTGTGTCTTTCACCACATGCTTAAGGGAAACTATAACTTGGATGAAATTTGTGCACGATATATTAAGGCCACTTGGCATAGAAGATATGATTATTGCTGTGGTGCTACTAGTACAATGTGTGTTATGAAGTTAATGTCTTGATTACACTAATGAATATCAAGCAACTAGTCCTCAATATTTAGATGAATATGTTTTTTCTAGACATAAATGGCTTCATCATAATGATCTCGAGGGACCATATGAGTGTACCTTTTATACTTACCCATTATTTGTCCCTTTTTGTTTGATATTCGTATCAGGTTAGGTGGATTGTTCTGGACACTGATGTGGCATATTACTATGATGAGCATGCACGTCAGGACTTGCCACCCTAGCATGTTGCACCACTTGCACCACCGGCGCCCGTGAACTATAACTGGGACATACGAAACACATGGAACTACCAAGGGATAGGTCAAAAAGCCTAATATAGGGGGGAGTATGTACCTCTCTCCCCATATTTTCATTGTTGCACCTTACTTGTTATATTCATGGATAACTATGTGATACATCTCAAACGTATCAATAATTTTTTATTGTTTCGTGATATTATATAATCACTTTTATATACTTCTATAGCAATTTATATTCTTTTTCTGCCCTGACCTACTAATTTAGTGCCCAGAGTCAATTCATGTTTTCTACATGTTTTTGGTTCCGCGGGAAATCAATATTTAGGAAGGTCAAAATACGATGCCAATTTTAGTGATTTTTTCTAGATGATGAAGGACCCTAGAAGCTTTGGGGGTGGACCAGTCGTGCACTACGGAGGGCACGTGGTCAGGTGGCGCGCCACTCGGGCATGTGGGGCCCACAAAACCACTTGAGCTCCGTTCCACCACCATAAATCCCTATAAATAATGAAATCATCCGCTATATTTTTGGAAGAATTTTTCCACCGCCGTAGGTTCCTGTTTCGCGAAAGTCCAATCTGGAGGTCTGTTTTGGAGCTTTGCCGGAGGGGGAATCCATTATCGGAGTATTCTTCATCAACCTTGTTTCCTCCATGATGATGTGTGAGTAGTTTCATTAGGACCTTAGGTTCCATACTAGTAGCTAGATGGTTCTCTCTCTCTTTTGGATCTTCAATATGATGTTCCCGTGTGCTGCCTCACATGGTTGGGATCAATTCAATGTAATCGGCGGTGTGTTTGTTGGGACATGATGAATTGTCACTTTATGATCAGATTGTTCATTGAAATAAATTGAAGCTTTTGTGTTTTTCTTGTTGTATAATTAAATGGCTTTACATGCTCTTTGATTTATCTATCTTCTTTGGCCAAGTTTGATGGATTTTTCTTCAGAGGGAGTGGTGCTTTGTAGTGGGTTCAATATTGCGGTGACCTAACTCAATGACAATAAGGGCTAAGACATGTATTTTATTGTTGCCACTAAGGATGAAACGATAGGGTTTTGTCATATTGATTGATGTCCTCCTATCTACATTATGTCACCTTGCTTATTGCAATGCTCTGTTTCTTGCAAACTTAATACCTTGAGATGCCTGTTGGATAGCGGTTTTGGGGTGGAGTATTAGTAGTAGATGCAGTTGGATTAACGGTATAATTATCACAGATGTAATGCCTATATAAGACTATACCATGAATGGTCATAGTCCTAAATATTGCAATTTAATTGCTGCCCAATTGTAATATGTTTACCATGCCATTTGTCTGTTTTTGAGAGAGATGCCTCTGGTGAACATATGGCCCCTAGGTGTAATCTCCTTTACTGAATGCTTCTACACAATTGCTACTATTTGTCGTTTTACCTTGCTACTTTCTATCCCTATCACTTATGTTTGATCTTATAACTAGCATGGCAAGGGGATTGACAACCCTCTTGTCGTGTTGGAGGCGAGCGTGTTTGTGTTCTATGTGCAGGTATTGTTGACTTGTCTAGCTTGGGATACTCCTACTAGATTGATAACCTTGGCTCTCTAACTGAGGGAAATATTTGCTACTGCTTTGCTCACCCTTGCTCTTTGGGGAATCCCAACAACTCTCGCGGGGGAAGCACTATATCATGCCTCATGCTTCATCGTTGTGTGGTTATTGATCTTGCTAGTTTGTAGTTTTTGTATTTATTCACATTTCTTTGTTTCTTTTTGCTTCTCTTTTGTTTTTATGCTTTCAAAAACAACAAAAATATTTT